CGGGGAATACGCTTAAGGGTATATTTAGAACGACGCTTAGCACTCTAGAATAAGAAAGGTTAATAAGGAAATTAGGGAGGAATTAGATCTAATACTTACGCGAATATAGAGACCTCCCTAGAAGATATAATAATTATAATTATTCTTAACCCTCTTAATAAAGCGAATATAACGTAGCTTAATTTTAGTTAAGAGAGTAAAGTTAAAATTAAAATTTTTCTAGAAAGGCTCTAAAAAGCTCCTTATATAATTGTATAGCACGTGATATATCACGTGTTCGCAGCACGTAACTAGAGGCTACGTTGCTAGCTATAAAGCTCTTACGAATATAGTAAATACAAGTGTATTATGTATTGTATTTTATATTAAGAACTTTATTTTTAAGTCTTTTAATAATATAAGATTAAAACTTATTTAAATTATTTAACATTTAAGTTAATTCTTTTATACTTATTTATTAAGAGGTTTAAACTTTAATTTATACTTACTTTTTACGAAATAATACTTATAGAATTTAAACTAAAATTATTAGAGTTTTATATCTTATTTTAGAATATAAGTAAGCCTAATTTAATCTCTCTTTACAGGTAACCCTCTATACGCGGTGCCTAATTTAATCCCTCTTCGCAGGTAACTTCGTGTGCGCGTTATAAAAAGCGAGAGTAAAGGTCTTTTAACTATAATTATAACTTATAATAAGCTATATATAATTAAGCTTATAAGTATAACCTTAACGCTTAATTAAGTATTTAAATAAGAAAAATAAAGCTTATAATAGCTTTAATAATAAGCTTAATTAAAAGGTATATTAAAATAAATTACTTATTATAAGTATTAATTATATACGCGTAATTAAATAAGAGTAAGCTTTTAATTATAAGTAAATAATTATAATAATAAGCGCACTTATAAAAAGAGCACATATAATCTTCTCTTTTATAGCGAGATATAGACTTGTATATATACATTATCATAACAATTAGTGTCCCTTAAGTGTGACAATTAATTATAGAGAAGTGATTAAATGCGGAGAAGATACATGAGCGTTGTAGGGGTTTCCTCCACCGACGACGGGAGCTAACGTGGTCGAGGCGGTGGGTTTGACCAAGATGACTTTGCTACAGTAGGCAGATGTGTGGTGATGTGGTGTCTGGTGGCATCACGGCAGTGTTGGACGCTGCGAGGGGATGATTGTGCAGGAAGCATTGGTGGATACATGCGAATACGATTCAACACCAGCGGCAATGTAGCTCTCGGTGTCATGTCATGATTTGAACGGGAAGCATTGGCATTGTGCACGACTACGATTTAACCTGCGGCAACATGCTCTCGGTACAATTTGAGACTAGCAACATGCTCTCTGGGTACAATCTTGGGAGCCATCTAATATGCAACCTGCGCAGCCAGCCCGTCCAACTCGCGTTCCCAGCATCGATGCTGGCTAACCGACCAGAAGAGCTGGTCCAAAAAGTGCTTCGCATTCTTGGTCGCCTGAACAACCTCCCGCAAGCTCTCGGGCTTGGGATGCCTCAACGTGACGACGCCGTAGCTCAGCACCGCATCGCTATCCGCGGAGAAGCGCACGCCATCCAGCTGCACGGCCTTTCCGACCAGGTCCACGGCCTCGCCCGTGGCGGCAATCGTCTTGAGATGGCCAAACGCCTCGCGTACGTAGTGCGTGACGCGGCCCATCTTGGCCAGCGCATCGACAGACTCTCTGCCGCCCGGGATGAAGACGGCGTCAAAGAGCGTGCTCCGCTGGCCTTCAAAGTGGTGGTCCGGCATGAGCCCCTTGGCCGAGTGCCTGTCCTCGCCCGCGGCAAAGATGGGCGAGCGCCGGGGGCCGAGGACGACGGGAATCGCGCGCGCGGCCCTGAGGGCTGCGACGACGGCGCCGTACGAGATGGAGTCGTAGCCGTCGGCGACGAGGACGGCGACCTTGCGCGAGGCAATCGTCACGCGCTCGGGGACGTACTCGAGCTGGCTCAGCCCGGCGGCCCTCTTGCCGTGATTCTGCCTGGGAGACTGGGCAGGGCTGGGACCGCCGACCATGGCGGCCACGGACCGCGCCAGGCCCAGGTCAATGTCGGCGAGGCGCCGGGTCAGGCGCTCGTAGACGACGGGCTCCTCGCAGTGGTCCAGCTCAAAGGAAAAGGCGGCCGTCATGTGCCTCTTCTCGACGTCCGACATGGAGTTGTAGAAGAGCTGGGCCTGCGAGACGTGGTCCCTGAACTTGTGACTCTTGGCTCGCACCTTGACGCCCCCGACCTCCTCGGGGTGGTCGACGTAGCCGCCCTCGTCGGCGGTGGCCGGCGGCTGGGCGGCGAAGCGGTTGGGCCAGTAGTTGACCTTTGCGCGCGCAATCGTGTGGCGCATGGCGCCGTCGCGGTTGAAGTTCATGACGGGGCAGACGGGCCTGTTGACGGGCAGCTCCTCCCAGTTGACGCCGAGGCGGCTGATTTGCGTGTCAAAGTAGGAGAAGTTGCGGCCCTGGAGCAGGGGGTCGTCGGAGAAGCCGACGCCGGGCACGACGTGGCTCGTGCAAAAGGCGGCCTGCTCCGTCTCGGTGAAGAACTCGTCGACGTTGCGGTTCAGCTCCAGCTCGCCGATGTAGCGCACGGGCACGAGCTCCTGCGGCCACAGCTTGGTGGCGTCGAGCACGTCAAAGTCGAAGCCGTCGGCGTCGGCGTCGCGGATGACCTGGATGCCGAACCTCCACCGGGGGTAGACGCCCCTGTCGATGGCCTCGGCGAGGTCCTTGCGGTGGAAGTCGGGGTCCTGGCCGGCAATCTTGAGGGCCTCGTCCCACACGAGCGAGTGGACGCCCAGCTCGGGCGTGAAGTGGAACTTGACCAGGTGCCGCTCGCCGCGGGCGTTTTGCAGCGTAAAGGTGTTGACGCCGAAGCCCTGCATCATCCGGAACGAGCGGGGGATGGCCCGGTCCGACATTGCCCACATGAACATGTGCGTCGCCTCGGGGTGCATGTACATGAAGTCCCAGAAGTTGTTGTGCGCCGACTGCGCCTGCGGCACCTCGCAGTCCGGCTCGGGCTTGGCCGCGTGGATGAGGTCGGGGAACTTGATGGCGTCCTGGATGAAGAAGACGGGTATGTTGTTGCCGACAATGTCCCAGTTGCCCTCTTGCGTGTACATCTTGACCGCGAACCCGCGCACGTCGCGCACCGTGTCTGCCGAGCCGCGGCTGCCGAGCACCGTCGAGAAGCGGACGAAGACGGGCGTCTCCCGGGACGTGTCGGTCAAGACGCCCGCGTGCGTCACGTCCTCGGCCGACTCGAGGAGCCGAAACGTCCCAAAGGCGCCCGTGCCGCGGGCGTGGACGACCCGTTCTGGGATTCTTTCATGGTCGAACCGGTGTATCTTGACGCGTCGTCAGTGGGAGCAGTCGGCCGTGGGGAGTTTGCAACTCTTTACCTTTTCCCGGGCAAAGGCGTCCTCGAGCAGCATGGGACCCGTCGTCTTGTCGCTGCTCACGCGCAGCCAGTCATCCGTGTTGGACTGCCTGGTCCCAAAGTCTGCCGTGATCCTGTCCTCGGGCGTGGGCTGCACCACCGAGGCCTCGAGCTGATCCGCCTTGGCTGTCTTGGTCGTCATGGCTGCGGTTTTGCTTTGGAGCATGTGGGCTGCAATCCGCTGCCGCCATCCCCGACGACGTTGGCTGGTCGACTATATATCGACGACGACGGGCAGCTCACGTTGCTGGTCCATGACATCAACCATCTGGGACAGACCAACCACGACAGCAGGACGGGTCGCAGCGTTGCATGTCGCTGTGGATGGCGGCCGCCATTGCGCCATGTTGATGTAATGATGAAGGGGGGTCAGCGGTGGCAGCGGCCGGACGAAAATGTCCGAGCCGTCCGCATCGGGATCGGGCATCGGGACCGAACGACGGTGACGCTTTGTAGTCGAGAGTACGGGGCACTGCCCCTCTGGACGACATGTAGGCTATTTCAATCTACTTTGGAATCCCAAAGCACCAGTTCCTTTCTCCCATCCAACTTACATCCCAGCACCTTCATTTACCATGATTCTCACCAGACGCGCAGCATCTCTCGCCTTGCGGCCGGGCATCACCTTGCGAGCACGTCTTCCACCGAGGAGGACATACGCCGACATTCCTGGCGCAAACAAGCCCGCGCGGCCTACCGAGATTAAAAACAAGTGTGTTCTGCATCTAGACTCGTAGTGTGTTGTGCTGACCGTCCATGTATCTAGCACCACGCTGTTGATGACGGGCTTGGCGGGGGTAGGATTGGCGGCTTGTTACTTCGTCCTTCTGGCGAAGCCAGAGGTAGTTGGTAGTGAAGCGACTGGAAAGCCAGAGAAGGCGAGGGACCCAAAGATGGCTAGAGAGAGGTAGACTTTTTCTTTTTATTTTTTTTTATTTTTTATTTTTTTTATACGAGGACCATTGGCAGTGATGCAAGTGCTCATCACCATGACCTGCAACCATGTGTTGTTCGCGAGTACGTCTCCTAGCTTCTATCCTGTACAAGAGTCCAAATACACCATCTGTTTATATCAGCAAGGTTCAATGTGCCAACTACCACGCCGTGTGCCCCCCATCGAGCACAAGATTACTCCCCGTCATGAAGCTGCTCGCGTCGCTGATCAGAAACAGCGCGGCACCCTTGAACTCGCTCGTCGTGGCCAACCGGCCCAGCATATTCTCCCTGGTCCAAATCTCCCTCAAATCGCCATCTCGCTCAAACAGCTCCCGGACCATTGGCGTTTCGATGTGGCCCGGGCTCAGGCAATTGACTCGAATCCCGCCGCTGCCGTCTTCGCGCAGAGGACTCCATTCCATGGCCAGGTTGCGCGCCAACTGGATGAGCGCCGCCTTGGACGAGTTGTACACGGGCGAGAACATGCCCTTGTTCGCCACCACGCCCGACATGCTCGCCACCAGACATATGCTCCCGCGGCACCTGTACTTGATCATGGCCCTGGCCCCGGCCTGAGCCGTCATGAAGACGCCCGTGTAGTTGGTGGCAAGCATCCTGGTGACATCCTCGAGCTTGTAGTCGAGTGCGGGCGTGGTCTGGACTATCCCCGCGGCGGCGACGACGCCGTCCAACTGCCGGTTGTCGTCTGCGATTTGCTCAATCGTGTCCTCGAGGTGTTTGGTGTCGCGGACATCCTGCTGCAGGTAGGTTAGGGATCCGCCCCATTCGGGGCCGACGCGGCCTTGGGCTTCTGTCCATTCCTGGTCGGGTTCTTTCTGCATGTCCAGGCAGTAGACTGGGACTGTTGTCAGTGGTGCTCTGCACGGGGAGTCGTGTCGGCGTGTGGATTTACCTTTTCCTCCTGCCTCGACGAGGGCTTCTGCCATGGCGAGGCCCAGGCCTCTTGCGCCGCCTGTTACGACGAACACTTTGCCGCCGAGGTGGAAGTCTGCGAAGCGTTTGTTTCCCACGGGCTCGTTGCGCGGGGGGGCGGCTGTGTTGGGCATGCTGGGATTTTGTGATGGGTTTTGCGACGAGGTACTCGGCTCTGAGGGTTAATACTTGTAACCATAATCATAATTGGCAAATATGGAGTGATGAAAATTTCGATTGTACAAGATGGAAAGTGAAGCCTATAAATATCGTTGCAAGGTACCGGAGCTTTTGCCTGTGGTAATAATGTCGAACTTTGACGTCATGAATGCGCAAGATTTTGAGGGGTGATTGGGAACGTCATAGAGAATACGGTTAGGAGAGATGAACGAACGCTTATCATCTCCCAGTTTGAATGCTGGGAGCTATTCGAGGTTCAAACAGAGTGGGGAAATGTTGTTGGATACTAACCCAGGTGCATTCATGGCGACGAGTGCGGATATGGTGTTTGATCGATGGCATATGGAGTCACTACTCATCCATTCATCTGGTAAAGGCTGAAGATTCATTCCGCACTTTGAGCCACATCTGCCATTGTTTGGAGACCAAGCCCCTCGTTTCAAGGCGTGTGGCCGGTGTTGGTTATGCCCTGTCCGGTCATGATGGCAACATGACGACACCCGCTTGCAGCTCCTTCCCGCGATAGACATGGAACAAAACGGAGGTGCTGCACATTCGTAGGTTTATTCGCTTACGGCGGCCAGCAAATATAAAGACTTGTATTTACGAGATGTAGGCTTTTGCCTTCGACGGACTTGTAAATACGTACACCTCCTGCTTTACCCTTGCTGCAGTGAATGGAATTATAGCACCTGTTATTTATACAATATCTAGAAATCCCCCAGAGCTGTCAAATTGATACTTATCGAATGGGACTCTTCTGTGAAACTTTGTTTTGCCCACTTGGCAAAGCCACACGAGATTGTCTGTTCCGTACTGACCTACCGAGGTCATGATCAACTTTGGCAACACCCTGACGCCATGAAATGGTCTCGGGGACCAACGGCGTACCACATTGAGCCCGGCCCTTTCAACTTGAACCTCGCCAGAATCCAGCCAGCATATTCCGCATGTCGACGCAGCACAACTTTACCATTACACTCTGCCTATTCTAAAGTATCACCAATATACAACCACTGTCAATACTCTATGCAATCGCGGTAAATTTTGTCTCCATGACGGACAAACCACCAGTACTAGGCGGCTGTTGCTGCGGCAGAGTCCAATATCGCGGCACCAAGCCCGCCTACGGAATGACATTCTGCTATTGCCCAACATGCCGACTACTGCACGGCGCGCCCTTTGCTCCGTGGACAATCTCCATCGGCAGAGCTTGGAGTGGATTCGAGATGAACATGTCGCCGAGGCCAGGTTTTCCGACTTTGCTACGCGCACGTTTTGCAGGGCGTGTCGTGCCCCGATGACCATGGTTTACGAGGCGGCGCCAGACGAAGCTGGCATCGTGGCAACAACCATGGACGAAGCCAAGTCTAGTGGTGCTATTCCACGGGTCGAGCGCCACGTACATGAGCGTGACCGGCCAAGTTGGTGCACGATATCGGATAGTGGTGCTCAGTATGAGGGCTTGCCGGGGGACATGAAGCACGTCAAGACGTGATGCTGGGTTTGTTTGTGTCCACCGGACATAAGCAAAGATGCCAAATTGCGCAACGAAACAGCGCCCTTTATTTTTCAACTATCCAAACACTGGCTGGCCAACTTGAAACTCCTTGACTCCTTGCAACAGGCTCGGCCGTCTTGAATCCTTCGTGTCCGGTTATCGCTGCGGATGAGCCCTAGTGTATCAGCCTTTTGCGCACAGAACTCGTCGCCGGTTATAGAATGCGGACTTACGCAATGACTGCTGTCATTAGAAATGACATCGGCCTCACATCGTCCATAGCAGCAAGTGCCAATGGGACCGAAAGCGGTTTCACAGAGGGCTCCGTATGGAAGACATTGTTTTCCTCCGATTTCTCCAGCCCGCATAGGGCTCGCTGTAGCTAACTGGGCTAAGCTGGCCACAATGGCTGTTGAAATCTTCATGTTTCTGAGCAAGTGCTTGATGCAAGATGCTCAGCTCTGGATGCGAATATTGTCGGTATTTTACTGTAAGCCCTGATACAACGCGATTTGGACGTGACAATGGTATGATGAAATGAGCTGGCTGTCGATGCTAGCTTGAAAGGATGGGGGTCGACGTTCCTTTGTACTTGTGTTGACGAGTGCGTCATCAGTTGGTCGTGCAACAACATTGAAGCCGGGCATTCTCATCTAGAAGGTCCGAATTAGGTTACAAGGTTCAAACTAGGTTGCAAGGTTCAAATTAGCAGCCTAGCTAGTCAAGCAGGGACCAAATGCACGTTCAATGCGATCCATAGCCGTCCATGGTGACAACTTGTCCATGACGCAGGGTATATAGTCGGAGTGGTTGGGGACGAGAGCAATGCCAGACCAGTAGACGCCTCGCAGGTTCTTCGTTCTCGGAAGACTAGGTATCACGTTGGCGGCCGCGCTACGCCATGCGAACAGCCCACGGTACGGAAAATGGCTGGCGTTGGCAATGATTTGCTGCATTCTGTCTTGGGTCTTGTAGAATTCTGATTGACTCCGAATTTGTTGAGCCAGTTTCACGAGAAGGTCTGATACATGACTTGCAGAGACATGCGAGTTATGAGTCCCATGACCGGCTCTAGGGAGAGATGCAATATAAATGTGTACCTGCTCCGCACTTAATATGTAGCTTGCCGGTATATCGATCGGTAGATCTATCCATGATGTTCCATGGTGTGGCATTCGATACCCCCGGCTACAACAACAGAGACTGCTGCATCCAAGCAAAACACGTCTGCTGCCATGTCCCCCTCGAAACCAAGGCCAGTCTAAGCGTGGCATGACGATGTTCACGTACGGGCCTCGAAACCAAGGCCAGTCTAAGCGTGGCATGACGATGTTCACGTACGGGCTATAAAGACCAGGAAGTTCCGCCAACTTCTCCCAGAGAATGATTGATGCCGGCGATGCTAGACGTCCGCCGCCGTTTTTTTGGCTCTCAACCACCCGCGTCTACTGAGCAACTGGTTTAGTTGAACGGATCAATCGACCATGTTGTCTCAGATGTTCAGAGAAAGGCGCACGACTGTCACGGGGAACACGCTGCTGGGCAGTTCCCATTTTTCTCAAGACGAATGGGCCAACGGGTCGTACCCCTGAGGATATCAGAAGCGCTGTTACCGACACTATCCAACTAATTCTTCAATGTAGAAAGACCATGAGGCCATAGCGTTACGTATAATTGATATTCCTTCGTCGACAGTTGTTAATGAGACATTTGTTAGCCATGATGGGTTCAACAAGAACGGCCAGAAGAGATCAAGTGTCAACGGAATATAAGGGGGTGTAGTTGCTGTTCAATTAGAGCGCGTTCTCTTTGTGACATTGAGCATGATCGCCCCAACTCGCCTTAGTATAAGCTTTCTCACTAGGTTAAGGTTACCTTGTACTTTTATGCGAATGCAAAGAAAGTGTGTTCAATTAGTCGCAAACCGTTTTCGTTTACACAAGTGATTTTATACTGAGGGCCGGAATTCAACCTGGCTCCTCATTTGATTTCAACACAGAGCAGAACGACGGGCACCCATTACCAGTAATGAAAACGTCAAAGATAATAAAACATATCTATACGATGCGTATTAGTCTATATTGTAATGTTCAAGCTATCCCGGCCTCTTGCTTTTCTGACGTGGCCGCCCCCAGTGCAGAAATAACACTACCGCCTCTCTAACAATATTAGTAACTGGAGGGGTTTTTCGAAGTAGCTAGGCATGCTAGGATTGTATTTGACAAAGTTCTTTAAGAACTTATTAGAGAGAGTAGGTCTATTTTCACCGTCCCAGGCAAAACTGTTCTACCGCGCGACTAATCCTCATCGACGCATCATCTACCCGTGTATGGAAAAAATTGGCCACTAGAAATACCAGCGCGTAGGTAAATGCATTTCCTAGAATAATGCCCAACAGCCACTGCAGCGTGCTCTCTCGACCAAAGTACGCCCACAGCGCTGGCGTAACAGCCTGGCCCACCATGTGCAATACAGGACCATGCACAATATACAATGAATAGCTTATCCGGCCCAGATGCTGGGCCCATCTTGCCAAGAAGGGCTTCTGCAGCACCGACGAGCTGGAGACTGCCCCTGCCCCGTGAACGATTATCTTTCTATCGCCGAAGCTCTCTGGCAAGGCGGATCCGATCCGGCGTATCCGGGACTGTCGTTGATATTCACGGCCGGAGCTGAGAGCAGATATAGACTTGAGACTAGAAACATGGAGCAAAACGACCTCCCACGACCCCAGCTGAAACTAAATCGCATGAGACACAAGAACAGGATCCAGCGAGCCACAGGGCGGCAGCGACCCAAGGCAACCCAAACCAGCATGAGAGTCAGAGATGCTCTGACCTCGTACGGAACCGTCCACAGGTGCGGGTCGGACTCATTATAATACGGCTACACGACCGATGTGCTGAAGTAGGTCCAAAGGTTGAAAATGCCGGTTGTGTGATGCCACCAATCCGCCAACTGTGCCGACATGGTCGGCTGTCGATTCGGGTGATTTGGCACTGTGAACAAATGGGCCTCGATGTTTGCTCGTGAAGGCTCCCACCAGCCTAGGCGTATAGTACTGGCCGAGATGAGAGTCCGACGAGAGGCGGAATATAGAGCCGGATGCCACGACGCATCACGCTCGAGCTTATCGACACGAATAGCTTGTCCCACTGCCTCCCATGTATCAAGTGAAGGGGCCGTATGGCATTGACATGGCAGCCAATGACGAGCAATACACAGACCATGGCATGCCCGGCATGATTTAGCCGTATAAATGGAAGTTGTGTAAACGAATAGCTTTTGCCATTATAGCCTAGCCTGCTTCAATATCAACAATATAAGCCCAGATTGTATGAAAAAACATGACGATTGGGCGGCTATTCCTCGCATGTCATCGAGAACGATGTTTAATGGAGTCATGGTGAATTTGGTAGTTGGTCTTTGTTTTTAGGGGTTTAAGTTGTATGGAAGAGCTGCAGTTTATTAGAGTCGTATCTGAAGATAGGATCCATGGCAAGCATGATTAGCCCACAGTGTCAGATTGAGAATAGCGACGCGGGACTGAAGAGACGATTGGATAGTGGTTGAGGTGGTGGCTATCTTGTCTGAACGGCGTAGCCTGTGGCATGCAGTCGATTGCAAGCAGAAACAAGGTTACAAGTATCTGTATACTGTGGCACCTTGACATGCTCGAGTAAGCGAGTGGCCTGGCGAGGATCGTGTTGCATGTACTGCAGCCATGCCGGCCAAGAAATACCACGGGCCTCGGCAGACATGCTACACTCACTGTAGCATACGTAAAAGTGTAATGCACAGGGGTATGTAGCTAGTTATGCCAAAGGCAAAAAGCAACGTACCCATTGGAGAGGACGGCCCTTATGAGGACCATCTCTGCCAGAGTTTAAATACGTAATCAACTTGGGGTTTTTGTTTCACGCCAGAAGACATCACATAAAGGTGAAACAGGTTGGGGCCCACGTGTCACATACAAGCCGATTGATAACCTTGCGAGCTGGCATATATTAATTGTGGCGGGCTTGTATCTGTCAGACTCTTGATCCTAGACTAGAAGACCTAATCCTCCGCCACCAACTCTCCTCGGCGACATGTCCAAGCTCTCAATCTTTGGCCATGACGGTGTCCTTGAATATTGTTTCACACTGACTAACTAGTTTCAGTATCAGCACAGGAAAAAAAAAACATGTAAAGCATCTTGCTACCTTTCAAGTCCGCCTCAGGCCGAGCGACACCGAACACTCTTGACGGTATCAACCACCCACCCGCAAAAGTATCTGTAGCCGTCCGAGTCGATGGTAGCAATATAGCCTCCGTCGCAGCCGTTGGATTTGTAAATGTCGCAGGTAACCCCCTTCCTCGTAATCGCAGAGCAGGCATTAAAGTTGACCTTGCTCACGCACGTGTCCATGGCGCCGACGTTGGAGTATTTTCCGTGGCAGTTATAGTTGCGGTACAGTGCGATCTCGCCCTCGTCGGGATACGCGGTATAGCTGCTGCATTTGGCCATGGCTACGCTGACCGAGCCAGCGAGGGCAAAGACTAGTGAAGTGAATCGCATCGTAGCAGGTCGAGATGGGCTTGTGCCACAGTTTTTGGCGTGCTTAAATACGAGATGAGAAAAAAGAGTAGTATTCGTTCTGAAGTGCGCATCGTCCCACACATGTTGAAATATTCGTGCCACAACCCACTTATTTGGAGCTCGCGGACTCACATAACCCTATAGTACCCTTATTATATCTTGTGAAATATAGGAATGTAATGGGCTGAGCCTTGAGGTGGCTCTCGTGTATATTGGAGTAGTTGTCCCGACACGGGCTGGTTCGTGGCGAGACGCTTTACAGTATGAAGTCTGTTCTGAACGGATCGAGATTGAAAGATTGGGACTACAATATCTATATGCTTGATAATGTCAGCTTGGAATATGCTTGATAATTCCAGCTTGGAGAGGTGGTCCATCTGTCGCCGCAAGGAGACAGGCCCTAGGTTTATAAGACTTTGCATCCCCATATAGGACCCCTTTTTTTCGTGAACCAATCAGCTGGAAACTCGATTCGCCAAAACATGTAAAGTCAGCTGTTGGACGCACAAAGTAACCTGGCACAAGACTTGCTAAATTCCATGTGAACATATTGATAGTGCATTATAAGAGGCCCGCGTGAAGCGCGGGATGGTAATATGGCAACATTTGTGAGCGACGCCGCGGCTCATTTGGTTCGACACCTGTGGGTCATGGAAGGCAAGGAAAGAATGACGCAACCCATTGTTCAGTTTCTCTCCTTTGAACTTTGAAATAGCTAGATATGCTCAAGTCGGATTGCCCGTCTCTCGCGTCCGCCCAGACGCGAGATTTGGAGACTCTCGTCAAAGTATGTCTGATCTGATTCAAAGTCTCGGCGACTCACCGCTCCTTCTAGCCCAGGATACTTGTGGCTCGGCATTAGCATGGCATACGGGTGATTTTTTGCGTGCGAGACCTCGAGGCATTACTGCCAGCCATGCCTATGATCTTCTGCCCATAGGCCGCAAGACAAAGCGATTTCTCCGCTTCTATTAGTTCAACTAGGCGCTAGGCTAGCTTCAGGTTTTTTTAGGCTGAGCGCGGGTGAGATACGGCCACGATGTTCTTCTCTTCGAATTCCCGAAACTAGATGCTTTACCGGTACCCAAGGAGAAGCCTGAGATGGGCCGTCATGTCACGGCACTCGCTGGCATTTCTTTCTCGATAACAGGTCGATTTGGTGGACTTGTTTCATCGCAAACCAGTTTATTAACGTAAAGCATCTAACTAAAACCTTTTTTCTCCCTTGGCCATGATACCCTAGATTGCGTCCAACGAGCAATTCAATAAGTCGTCTGCCAATGCTCCACAGGATTTATCCATCCGATGTAGCCCTTGCGGCTCTCAATACCATCATCTCATCGAAACTGTTGGGAAATCTCATTACCACATCACCATTCTGTGAACAACATTCAGCTTGCCCCTTTCGTCCTTTCTGCCACTTGCTCACGCCACTCATTGGCTTGCACTGTTAATGGCCAGTCGTACCTTAAACACTGTGTCTCTGCAATCCGTACTGATAAAAAAAATCCTAGGGAAAAAGGGCGAGATCGGCTAGTCCACGCTGTTTGAGCCTAACGTACGTCTCACGCCAGGGAGGACTATATGTTACACGGATTAGGTTAAGCAAGGATTAGAAGCCCTTTATTACATAAAGAGATTATTAGAACTATAAGGTATACTAGGCACGGGTTATTTCTTTTATATATATAAGATAATTCTCTCTTATCTTTTAACTTAAAGAAACTAAAAACCTTTAATATTTTATAAGATTATTATTAAATTAAGCTCTTTTACTTTAAGCTCTTTATTAAGCTCTTATTATAAATAATCTTATACTCTTAAAGATAAGCCTTTAATTTATAATTACTTAACTTACTTTATAATATCTTTTAACCTTTTATTATTAGTTTCTCTCTTATAAGTAAAGCTTTAAAGAAAGCCTTATAAAAATTATTATTAAAAGAATTATTATTATTCTTATTTTTAAAACGCTTCAATATAATAAAAGCTTT